CAAAAATTTGGCACTTCACACTTATCATTTTATGATATAACAGTTGGTATTAGTGATCCAAATGTATTTATTCCACGACGAGAATGTCTTACAAGTGAAGAATGGGATATGCGACACACTCTATTCGGCACACCTGCCAAGAAACATTGAGAGGATAAATTTTTCAGTACTTAATGTTTAATGAATTTTTTTTTCAATTTTTCAATAAAACAAATTTGGTCGTAGCATTTAATAATAATAATATAACTTCGCATACATAATATTTAATTCTAACAAGTATAAACAATAAGGAGATATGTCGTATTGATCATCTAAGCGTATAAACGAAAAATGACATTATCTGTTGATCTTTGAAGTTGTGTAAATTATCTTTTGTTATGCGGATTCTAAAGTTGTTCAGCATCTTCATGACAATCATATAGTATTATTATAAAGAGACATATGTAAAAGATGATGAGTAATCATAATTTTTAAGTGTGAAATAATTTAAGTTTTTGTTTTTCAACTGAAGTTTTAGTATCAAAAGATCTTATTGAAATTGAGTAATTTAAAAAATAAAACAGTGTCGACCTTTTAATGAAAAATAGGTTTTTGCTAATGTTATTTAATTTCACTCATTATATTGTCTTATAAAGACATCTACTTACTTCATCATGACTATTTGAGGCATTATTTTGACGTAGTAAAAAGAAACGATCGATATATATTTTAGGAAAACAATGCGCTTCTAACTCCATACAAAGCTTGATAATGCGAGGATAATAAAGAATGTAATGATCTCAAGAGCTTCGTATCATCAAACTTTAGATAATTAGAATTAGGATTCTCGATAGAGAAACAAATGATAACGAACATTCATGAAGGATAAGTCGAGAATTCAGGTCATATAGTCAAATAAATAGATTGATTAGTAAAACCAAAATTCTATCTATCACACTAAATTGTTGTTAAATATTATGCAACGAAATTCGTAATTGTCTTTGATCAAGGATATAATTATGTTAGGCAACTTGCAGAATTCCCAATTTAACTGATCTTTTGGTTTCATATAAGAAACAAGTTTTTCGAAATTATGAAATTTTTCTTTTCAACAAACAAACAATAGTTCGAAAAGTTTCCCGTACTGTTCAACATTATGGAAACAAGAATGTTTTCGAAATAGAAAAGTAGAAAATATATGATATCTGTTCATTGGCATCTTGCTTGATGTAGAGTGTGTCAGTGGACTCTTGCTTTATTTATGTTTTGCTTTCAGTATTTTTGTTACTGGCTGCTTGTTTTTCGATACTATCATGGTGTATTTGTCGCATTATAGGCTAACCACGAGAAGGCAATAGGTTTCGAATTGCAGTCCAATGACACAATCTAATTAAAGATACCATCATTTTTAATAACAACTTACACAGTAAGGAATGGAAATATTAGTGCTCAAGAAGAAGAAAATCAATGTTTCGTTGAATCCAAAAGCTGTTTGAAAAAGTAGTGATGCAACCATAAACCAGGCTTCTTACTCAAGGTAAACAGTAGAGACTTCCATCTTGAAGTCTGATGAAGTCTGTGGAAGCCATCTTAACTCAGTTTTACGATCGGTAACGGTAAGCGATCAGTGCATTTGAGGATTATTTATCGTCTGTTCTGGATGGCTTTGGGTTTTTTCGTATGCTTTCTTCAGCAGAATTGGTCTTAGAAGTATTTTTCTCGCGAGTTAAACACATTTAAACAATTTTAGAAGACGATTTCTATGAGATAATCCACATCAATGTATTTCTATGCAGTGGATATGCATCAAAGCATATTTAATGTATTTTATCAATTCGTTTCAATATCAGTTTATGATATGGAAGCAAAATCAAATGATTTTTATTGTAGTTTTTCATAAGTTTATTTGGATTTCCTGCTGTTTTTGTAGCATATATTTCGCGAAGACATTAGAGATAACGGTCGTCAATATACAATAAAAACAGATTATACATATTAGGCGTTAATAATGTTGATGTCAGATGAGTGCTTTTTTTTGACTCCTTCTTCAAGTCCACCGAACGCGTTCGATTTTGGCTGACTCTTTTCCCTGGACAAGCATTGCTAAGAGATTTGTTTTGATAAAAAGCTTAGTTCCTCAACTATATTGCGTTTTTTCAACTCAGCGAAATTTCCTTTGTTAACAGTAAAAGAAGAAGAAGTGAAATGTGTATCAAGATCAAAAACAATTTTGCTAGAAACTATGGTAACAGATATTTGAAATCGATACCTGCCACATTTTAACAACATCTTTTACGCAAGAATTCGATGCTTACAGACAGCTTGGATGCAATAAAGAGTGAGTCGTTGAATTTTTCGAGATTCGATTCGATCCGACAGCTTTTCTCAAAATATCTTCTGTGAGGCGAGTATCGTGTTCTTCTTCATGAATGTACATCAGACAAAGAATAAAAAACAGCCATTTTATGACTCGTATGCTTCATTCATCTATCAACGGGACACTGAAGGATCTATAACATCAATCCTTTTAAAAACATTGGAACTCACTTAACTTCAACATTTCATGAAAACTTGTAAAAAAAGCGGACACTTGTAACGAGCGCACAGATCTCCATATATATTTATCACCGCTTATTCTGTGACAGTTTGTTCACTTTTGACTGATCTCTTGCCACTTTTCTCAGAGATTTTCTTTATCAATCGCATCTTCGAACTGTTCTATGCAGTCATAAATAACTAGTGCGAGAACACTTATGAAGACAAGCAGACAAAAGAGTTACAGCAGGTAAACAAGAGCCACACACCAGTACTATAGCGATTCATATGTGTATATGTCTAACCGAAGGCTTGATTTGACATTTAAAGCTTGAGAAAAGTGAACAATACTCATGCCAGTCTCACTGGTGCCAGTAAGGAAAAATTCTACCGTTTACGAATTTGTCATGAGTCTGATGAAATGAACACAAGTGTTTTGTAAATTTTTAGTTCATGCTTTGAGTAGATGTTGAAGTCTCGTGAAGTCGTTAATTCTACTGTTTTACATTCGATTCAAACATGCTTTTAACAAAAAATATTTCCCTTCTTCTTTTCACGACATTTTTATATAAAAGCGAACAGATTAAACTCATCAACGAATTCCGCTCCTGCTCTACGAACTATTTATCAATGGATCGGTTAGCCTTCAACGAGATTTTCTCAATATGGCCATCATATGTTGCTCAAACTGGCTATTTCTCAAAAATGATCAACATAGAAAATTCTATAAAATGCAATATATAAAGAGTTTTTAGATACTGATTTGTTTTTATGGGGATTGGTAAACCATGAGCATGAGAAACGTTCAGCACCAACATTTCAAGCACACAAAAATACTGAAAGTAAATAGAATGTGGGCAGGCGTAGGTATTGATTTTCTCTTTAGTCGCACTCACATAATAGGGAGAAATAGCAGACATCTGTGTTGAAGTGTTATGAAGCTCCATAAAGGTTTTTCAAATTTTAAGTCTATACACTGGAGGTCTTATGAAGCCTTTTGAAATCTCATGAAGTCTTGAAATATGTCTTTTTCTTCAGCCTACACTCACCAAAAAACCAACCCACAACTACTCTACATCCATAGCAACTAATGAACTATATAGTCAGATTCTTTGACTCCGAAGCCTAACTTCGACTTGGACAGTTTTCTACTCGTAACTCACACTCTGACTTCTAAAAAAGTTTTAGATTCCGAGTCCAACTTAAACTATGCAAAAAATATTTTTGGCTTCTAGCTCCAAAACTCTTCGAGAATTATTCTGTGTACTTAAGCGATGATTTTCCAGAAATCACAGAAACAATGATTGAAAGAGTTTCGAGAAAAAAGTTGAAACATTCTCCAACTACGGTTCCAAAAAATTCTGATTTTGTAACCCCAATTGTGACTCCGCCGAAGTCGGTTTTGGAAGTCCTGTACAGCTCATTAGCACCCACCCCACTCATATACGACACCAACTAACATCTTATTTAATTTCAGCTTTTTGCTTGCTTAAATTGTTGATGCTGAATGTTTTCGTGCTCATCGTTCCTCATGTTCATCGTCTTGGTTTCCGTTTTTATGCTTCACTGCTCATGAAATTATTCTATCAAAATGTAATTTTACTCTATTAGCATCTTGAGCAGTTTCTTGTAGAATAACATCGAAAAGTATTCTGTGGAGCACCGGATCTGCTAGATAAACTAAGCAAGAAGTCAAACATTGCAAATAAATTAGTTAAAGAATTGAAAGGAATTTAAGAATGTGAGGAATGATTTGAATTATATTATAGAAACCGAAAATCTATTGCTTATCTTTGGCAAAAGCTGTAAATTTTTCTCTCTTAGTTAGACAACAATAGTTTTGAGCACTCTTACTAAACCTTTTTACTTACAAAAAATAACTTGGAACTCTCCTTTATCATCAGAAAAAAGCTTAGTTTATTTGGTTCAAATATGATGGACATATAGAAATTTCTTTTTGATCCATGACTTTCAGGACACTCTGTACAGGCAATATCCGTCAGTTTTGCCACTCTGTGGAACGAGAATAGT